CAAGAGGGTTTAGTCTCCAAGATCAGTGTGTGCAGTCAGATGTGAAAGTTTGATGAGTTGACTGTTCTCATGCCCCTTGATGATCACAGAGCAGTGTGTAACTCACAGGACCCTGTAAGGGCCTGGGCTCAATTCTGGAGGCCAGCAGTCTAAGATCAAGATACCTGCAGGCCTGGTTTCTTCTGAGGCCTCTCTCCTTGCCTTGCTAATGGCCGTCTGCTCACTGTATCTTCATGTGAAAAGACACAACCCTGATGTCTCTTTGTGTGTCTAGGTTTCCTTTTAGATGGATACCAGTCAGCTTAGGGCTCACCTGTAGTGCTTTATTTTAACGTATGCACTATGTCTTCAAATATGGTTGCCTTCCGAGGTAGTGGGGGTTAGGACTGCAGCATGTGAATTTGCAAGGATACAACTCAGGCCATAATAAATTGCTTGCATGTTAATGTCATTTAAGTGAGGAATTATTCTAATGCATTCATTATCCTCAATTAGTTCCATTAATCCGTAAAAGGGCATAGACATAAAGAGAGAATTTTATCTACAGTGACAGTGAGTTTCAAATCTTCTCATCTGCCTTTCAGGACCAAGGCAGGCTTGGGAGTGCTGTAACAGATCAAAGTGCCATCCTTTTAATCAAGGGGAGTTTCTGTATTTCACAGAGGGGTGAGTTGTGTAAAACACAGTCTTCATTCTGTTGGTGTTTCAGACACCCTCAGCCCTACCCCTTTAATCTGACATTTTTGAGCTGACTTGCCCCAATATACTCATTAATTTTTTCTGTGTACAAAAAGAAGAAACATCTGCAAACATCTCCTAGCGGGTAGCCAAAGGATTTATAGCTACTGGTTGAATCTTGCTTTCAGAGCATATTTTCTCATTTATTCTTCCAAAAAATTGTATCCACAATCTATTGTGTGTGCTAAGTTATTGGGGAAATGATAATGAACAAATAATATGACCTGCTTTGCTCTGGAAAACAGGAAAAATAAGGCAACCACAGGCAGAATGCAGCTAGCTCCCAGGGGATAGATTTCTAGAGCCAACTGCCATGGTTGTTCTACATTCTAAATTTTTTGGATCAGACACTAATGAAAATATTTTATCCCCTGATCCCCACAATCTGTTGAAATGTCCCTAAAATGCCAACATTTTGCTCTCCACAATCACTTGTCCCTTATAGTTATAATCAATATTGGCAACTGGCCTTCCTTCCTTCCTTAAGATCTGAAATTCATGGCGACTGTGACTCAACACCATGGCCTGAGGTCTGACCTTCACTGCAGACAGGCGGAAGGACTAGGGCATGCTTCCAAATGCGACTCTCCTCAGCAAAACACTAGCAAATCTCCTGAGAAGGTGTTTTCATTTCTCTACCACATAAATGCTCAGAACCTTCCTGGGCTGGTCGTTAAGGAGGAGCTAGTCTCAGCAGACTACAAACATCATGACTTTGCAGAAGTATAGTCACTCTCCTCATCTGGGGAACAGAAGGGAGAATTCCTCCTTTATAAGATTGTTTCAAGGATTAAATGAGATAATGTGTGTTAAACAGCTGACACTTAAGATATGCTGATGTATGCATGATGGAAAGATCCTTTCTACAACCCCCTTCAAAATTTCCCCCTTAATTCACAGAACCACTGATACTAATTTCTTTTGGACTAGCACATAAGATTTAAAAATCTCTTATTAAGAATTCAGACATTTCATTTGAGCAAGAAAAGATAGTGCATTTAGTGCACTCTGAAATTAATTGGTCATAGGTGCTAGATGACAACCCAGACGTCCTGTGAAGAAGAGACAATTTGCTGGACAGCTAGGACATGTGGCTGGTTTTGGTTTTTGAGTTTGTGTGTCCTGTGGTTTGGGTTGGGGTCAGCTTGAGAACCAGGACCAAGAACGCCTGCTGGTCTCTTGGCAGAGTGTGAGAAGTCCACACTGCCTGGATTGTGAGCACGCAACAGTGGGGACCAGTGTCCCTGGCCGGCTGTGAGAGATGGCCCTGAGGGACAGAATGGAGGATGCTGCTCACATCAGTTTACTCGCATTTACCTAAGCCTTCCTTCCTTGTAGAAAGGACGCTTAGTCATAAGCTTCCTTTGATCATTTCAACTTTAATAGGAAATATTATATCTTCTTGGAAATAATTTCTTTTGTCTCTGACTTTGCTGTACTGTATCTATAGCTCCATCATCCCTCTTGCATCTCACTGACCCTAAACATGCAAGATGAATGAATTCTAGGAATCTGCTGTATGACATCGTGTCTAGATAACGATGGTGTATTATATGCTTGAAAATCTGTTAAAGGGGTAGATCTCATATTAAGTGTTCTGATCACAATAAAAATTAAAGCAAAGGAGAACTGAATTTCCTTGGTAACAGTTTGGGCCATGGCAATACCAACCAACAGATAGGTTTTAGCGGGAGGATCTCATAGTCCCTGATATCCATCAAGCATCAGCCGGCCTGTATATGTAGATAATGGCAAGGTAGGAAGTGGGGAATGTGGACTTTTAGAGACTATCCTTGAGCTGAAATTGTGCACAGGGCTACTCGTTCATTTGAGGCGAACTTTTTGACTTCAGTTCATGTTGTTATTCATTTATTTTGGATATATTTTGTTGAGGTAGTGCATTATATACAAAGTAAAATGCAAATAACTTAGGTGTACAGCTTAATAAATTTTGACAAATGTACACATCTCTCATCAAGACAAAGAATATTTCCAGCACCCAGGGAAGTTCTCTCCTGATAGTTCCTAGCCAGTGCCCACCTCAGAGACTCTTTAAACGGAATCATGATTTTATTCTTTTGTAACTGGCTCCTTAGCTATTCATCATACTGGTGTTGAGATTTATTGGTGTTACTGTGTATACCGGTGATTTGAACTTCTTTACTGACAGGTAGTACTCAAGTGTATGAACACACCAGTGTGTCTTACATGTTCCTATAGATAGACATATACTTTCTTTCTTTCTGTGGTGTTCTGAAGAACCAGCTTCCTTCACATACCACTGCAGGGAGGAAGGCTTCTTTTTGATATTGCAACAACCGCATTTATTTAGTTAATCCAGGTCTTTCATCTCATGGATGAGTGATTCAGTCCTACTTCCATTCCTTGGTGATGAATTAAATTAAAAGTTTAAAAATAAAGGACAATGTTTATCTTCCCTTTATTTCTTAGATAAGATATTTCTTAAGATGTATACATACACACACACACATGCAAAGAGTATGATTTGTCACGTACATACATATTTATATATAAGCAATAACAATATTTACACTAAAGTTTAGCTATTTAAATTGATTTGACACTATGTAAAAATTTTAGTCACAGATAAATTAGAAAAATATACCAATATATTAATATTCATTGAATGTAATTCAACAAATATAATTCAAAAAGACAATCTGAAAATCTAGGGAACAATTTCTTGTTTATTGTTATCAAAACATTTGTTATATGAACAATAGGAGGTTAGAGGTGGGATCTGACTGCAAACACATACAGATTAGCCAGGAAAAGGGGCATCAGTAACTTTAGTTAATTTTAGTGTATTTGTCTGAATTTGTTTTAAAGAATAAAAATAACCAAACTCAGTTTTTAAAATATTAAGAACAGGATATATAAAGTATCACCAATGTTACTAGTGATAATCTAGTCATTTCCAAGTTATGATTAATTAGGAAAGATAGAGGTAGAATGGAAAATTATGATTAAAGGAAAAAAAATTTTTAAAGTGAAATAGAACTGAGAGAATATTGTACTTCAGGATGTCTACTATAGTGGGCTAGTGTGTGCCATCTTCCCCTCAGCTCCCGTCTTCCTCCTCACCAAATGCGACTTCCAAATCACTTGGTTGGGGTTTTACATTCTCTCTAAATTTGTCTCCTATATTAAACCCCAAGGCAAAAAATATCTTGGCCTGGAATTGCAGAACCTGTTTCCTACCCCTGGAATTTCTTTTAAGTGCTTTCATAGTTTGGAATTTAATTTACTGTAATTTAAAAAGGTGGGTGGGAAGATCAGCAAAAGTGGGTAGGAACAATAGAGTAACACGTAATTCATTTTAGGAAACTTGCCTCCAGCCTCGTTCCAGCTCAGCCAGGAGTTACATCTGGCCCAAGAACCAAAGTGTGCCCAGCACTACCCTATGAAATTCTATAACGATATTGTCTATTTTTATGTATTTGTGATTTTCTTTTAAAAAATAAGGAAAAGAACAACTTGCACCTTTTCCCAATGGGCTTAAAATAAGGGCCAGACTATCTTCCACAAAATAACTTTATTTTCTACATACTGAAAGGAAAATTGCAGAGCAAGGCTGCGGGTTGGCGTATAAAAGAAACGTGTTTCCACAAAACCTGTTAAAAGATAGTCTCTTAATTTTAATGGAATGTCTGATCATTTGCGTAATATCTTAATATTGGAAGTTCTCTTTGAGAACTTTTAGAGAAGGTTCTTTTATTTTTTTTTTTGAGACGGAGCCTCAAGCTATCCCCCTGGGTAGAGTGCCATGGCATCACAGCTCACAGCAACCTCCAATTCTTGGGCTTAAGCGATTCTCCTGCCTCAGCCTCCCAAGTAGCTGGGACCACAGGCGCCCGCCACAATGCCTGGCCATTTTTTGGTTGCAGCCATCATTGTTGTTTGGCGGGCCCGGACTGGGGATTCGAACCCGCCACCTTAGGTGTATGTGGCTGGCGCCTTAGCCGCTTGAGCCACAGGTGCTGAGCCTAGAGAAGGTTCTTATACTTAGGACCTCCTCACCCCCCAGAGAGTTTTTTTAAAAATGTCCTCTGTGATTCTAATAGGAAGCTGTAGGGAGCTCTGCTGGAGTCAAATAATAATTTAATTATAGTAAGAAATACTCTGAAAAGGACTTAACAGTAAAACGGACCAAGTTCAAGAAAGGTCGGCAGTGTTTGTTCATCAGGTGCTGGGTACAGTGAGGGGCACAGATCGACTGAAATACTTACTGTCTCTGCGATGTGCTTTTCCGGTGTGAGGCTAAGTAGCCATCAGCGCCCTGTCCGGTTCCCTCATAGGAAACCAACCTTTTAGTTACTCAACAACTATTCAGTGAATTGCTTCTCTGGACAAGCACAGTGCTAGGCTGTGCAGGTAAACGAGCCGGAGCAGTGACCAAAGCAAAGTCCCTAACTCTGACTTGGTGAAGTGAAAATCCCTCCTGCCTTTCAAACATGGCGGAGGAAGAGCGAGAGGGGCGGCCCGTCCTGGGGTTTAAGAGAACTGAGATAATTGCAGCCTCATTTTGAAGTCTCTTAGTATTTGCCGCTGAAGAGACCATCAAAATGTGTATCCTGAAAAAGTGCCAAGGAAAGTGAATGCAAACTGCAAACTAAATTACCAGGAAAAAAACAAAAAACAAAAAAAATAAGAGACAGAACAGGAGTGAAGACTTGGAACCCAGACAATGTGAGGGTGAATGTGAGGGCTGGGGGGCCAAGGACAAGCTAGGACAGAGAAGGTGAGCAGAACCTACAGGTTTTGTGTAATCTCAGCAATATGCGTGGGCCAGTGCCATCTCAATGTCCCCAAACTAGAGGGACAGAAATAATTAGAGGGGATATGTTTCATAATAAAATATATCAAGACTATTGTGTGGAAAAGGGCTAAGTATTTTGTTCCAATGAGGAATGTAAGTGAAAAGATGACTGCACATTTTAGAAAACCAGGTGTGGGCCCAATTCTAGGAAAGGCATTCTAAAAATCAAACCATCTGAAGAAGGAGAGGGATAAATAATTCTTCTTCTCCTGAATCATTGGAGTGTTTAAGTGGAAATCAGATGTCTACTTCTTAGAGTTTTTAGAACAAAGTAGGACTAGATGATTATGAGGCTCTTCCTACAGAAACTTTGAACAGAAGAATAATTATGACTTTAGCAAACTATCCTCTGGAGTTCTGTATGGAAGCAGTCATTGTTATTTTCCTTAACAGAACCAGAGCGTTTAGCAATATCAGTTTAAGAAAGAGAGAGAGAGAGTGTGGTGTGTGTAACCTACAATGATGCCCAAGTACTGTTATAATAGAAAATAATTTACTTCTATGAAGAACATGAAATTGAACTTCTGATACTAACTGGCCCAGAAATGTTGATGGAGAAAATTTTGCAGCTAAGTTTCCGTAGGGTCAAAAGAAAATCACCAAATGATTGTGTGACCACACATCATGAAGACTGAGTCTCCCAGTGACAAAGATTGATTTCTGCATTGATCAATACAGCATTAATACTTGGATATGGGGGCAGCTGTGTGCTGTAAATAAAATGGAGTATATTCACCGAGGAACCAAGGTGTGACTAGAAAGAGGGCAATATTTTATCCCAGGAAATTAATTTTGCTCTTACTGACATGAGACCTTGTAAATACTCTCCAACCATGAATTACATTACTCATATCTCTCAAAATCCATGTTGAAGGCTGTCTCGAAAACTGAAACCTTGTTATTATTTTTGTTGAGTTTTTTTTTTTTTTGAGCAATCTATTTTACTACTTTATGTCTCTGAAAACAGAAAAGGCAAGGTAAATTTTTTGATGTTTAAGAATCCTAAATGCAAGGTTTTACATATTATATGAGCAGAATATGCTCTCACATTAAAAGGAATAAAACAAGATTTGTTAAAATTTAAAAGAAAACCTTTCCAATCAGTTAATGGGTATCCACAACTTACTCCTCAGCTAAACAGATAGACCCTCCTTTACACGTAGTATCCTCCTTCCACCTTTTCTTAAGGAATCTCTATTATAAGTAAAGTCAACCCTTTATGACTATGAAGGTAACAGATGCATAAAAAAATGCATGCATGTAAAAAATCCAAGAAAAGTACAAAGAATAAAAAATATGAAGAACTATAACCCACTGAAAAGTTTATATTTCCTTTGGCATATGCGTATGTGTATATTTAATGGCATGGAGGTTACACACATATATACAAATATGTCTTCTGTTCTCTTTTAGGGGTAAAAGGAGCAGAAGAGTAGCATTTTTTAGAGCAGTTTCTGTTTTGAGTTATCTGAAAAGTTAGTGGACAAGAGAGGGAAACAGGGCCAAGGGCAAGTGTGTCTTATCACTGAGTATAGAATTAAAGAGCCGGGAAGTCTAGCCCCTGGACCCCTTCCTATCTTGTTCTCTTCCTCTCTTTAACAAACATAGACTGAGGACTCGGGGGCCTTAGGCACAGTGCCAGGGCTCTGGGGAGGTCAAGTCCTCATAGTCATGGACTCTGTGGTGGGAAAGCCAGAAGGTTTGGGACCCCAAAGAGAGGATCCCAGAGAGGCAGGGAAGCTGGGAGCTGGTGCAAGTACATTGCTAAGAAGAGTAGAATGGCTCTTCAGAGGGGCCACGTAAGGGCCTTTCATAGGCAAGGAAGCCACAACAAAGTGCTGAGAAACAGGACATTTGCATCTCAGTATCTGTTCTGACTCTTGTAGCAAGTCACCAAGAGCTAAATTCTAAATTTTGTGGTGTAAAAATATGTTAAATTTCTGTCTCCTGTTTGGAGTCCCAAATCCCTGATATAAACTAATCTGAGACTTGTCCTGCTAGAACTAAATCTCTTGAGAGGATCGCTAAGCCCATTTCATGGAGGAATGAACACAAGCCTGTGAGCAGGGCCCGTGCCGGCTTCTCCTTAGCACAGCTGACTGCACTGATGAAGTGTCTTGAGGAAAACATTCTGTTGGGACACTTTATTCCTGCTTGCTGGACAGAGATCTGTTTGCTGATATGTTTTTGTGCTTTCAAATATTTTATGTATATATAAGATACGTGTAAAAGAAAACTGACAAAGTGGAATAACTACTATTTTTTTTTTTCTTGAGACAGAGTCTTGCTCTGTCACCCCAGGTAGGGTGCAGTGATGTCATCATAGCTTGTGGCAACCTCAAACTCCTGGGCTTAAGTGATCCTCCTGCCTCGGCCTCCTGAGTAGCTAGGACTACAGGCACGCTTCTTGATGCCTGCTAATTTTTCTAATTTTGGTACAGATGGGTCTTGCTCAGTATGCTCTCAGAACTACTAAGTTCAAGGGATCTTCCCACCTCAGCCTCTCAGAGTCCCAGGATTACTGGCCTGAGCCACTGCACCCTGCCATATTCTTGACTCACAGGCAGAGACTTCTTTTAACCACGTGGAGTCCCCCGTCTCTGGAAGCCAGTTTCATATCTTTGTGGGGACTCAGAGGAAGGTAAAGGGAATAACAGCACCAAATGGATGAAAGGGCCAAAGAGTGAGTAAAGAAAAATTTAGGGAAGGGGTTTCTCCTGGGGCCCTAAAATCTGCTTACTTAAAAATTATCATGGTATCCTCCCTGAAATGATTCTTTTCTCTGAGGTTCATTTTCCCCTATCCACATAAAACTCTGAGAAATATTTCCGATTCCCTTAAACATCTTTCACGTGAGTGATACCTTTCGTTTGGAGCCAGTTTCAAACTAGACCGTTAAAGCAAATTCTTACCTAAGGAGCTAGTCTAAATTTCTAAAAGGAAAGAGCAATTATCTACTACCCCTACAGCTACATGAAAATGAAAATGGAATGGGGAAAAAGACTTTCAGAATCTATTTCCTTCATTTGGTGATAGCCTCAGGCCCCAAATCTCATTTTGTAGAGCATCACATGTCTAGCCGTGGTTTTATTTAGCTGCATTCTATGGCCTTAAATCTCATGAAAGGCATGTTATAAACTCAAGAAATTAAATTTTTCATGGGTTTATGTGGGGCTCAGAAAATACATTGTCACAATCCACACAGGAGCATAATGGCTGCTTCTGCAATTGCTGAGAATTGTTGTACTTTTTTTTTTTTTCCTGAAAGATGCAATAATTAAAGTCATAAGAAATTCAGGTAAGCAGGTGGTGCTAGAGAGGTTCAGCAAATGATAACACATCATTCAAAGCAGGGAGTAAAGCAGGCAATATTCAATCAAATAAACAGCTGGTGTTAAAAAATTATATTAGCAGGAAACAGGACTCTAATTTAAAAACTGGCATTCTAGAGCAGTTATTCTGCCTGTTACAGTGGGGTGGGGTGGATGACTGTCAAATGCACCTAGTGAATATGTTCATTTACTTGGCAAAAGAGACTTTGCAGATGTGATCAAATGAAAGATACTGAGATGGGGAGATTATCCTGGATTATCTGAGTGAATCCCATGAAATCACTTGGGTCCTTAACAAGAGGGAGGCAGGATGGTCAGGCCTTACTAGAGGAGGTTACAGTGGAGGCGAGAGGTTGCCCTGACAGGGAGGGTCCATGAGCCATGGAATGCTGGTGGCCTCTTGAAGATAAAAACACAAGGAAATGTGTTCTTCCCAAAGGCTCTACACATACCTTCCTGACTGGTTTTGTTTTGTTTTGTTTTTTAAATGCAACTAAGTTTGTGGTAATTTGTGACAGGAGCAATAAAAAGCTTACACAGTCAGTTGCTGAGAAAGCCTAAAGGAAATAATTTCAGGATCAGTTTTTTCTGTGCTTATGTACAAAGTAGGAACTAGGTTCAGAATAAGGCATCAGTGCATCCCACATGCATGCACTTTGGAAATCACCTTCACCTTCATCTTCTGGAACTAGATTGCAAGATCAGAGGCAGATTAACCACAGCTTTGCCAAGACACTAAGCTTCTGATATTTAGCTGCTGACATCCTAAAACCTGCATGCTAAGGTAAGGCTTGATCCCAGAAATGAGAATATGACATAGGAGGAGATAATCCCTTAGCTGTAGAAAGTTTTTGGAGACGTGTGGAATATAGTGGTCACTGGTAGACTTTGAACCTATATGATTAAAGTGCATACTTTTTGCCTTACCTAAAGTGTACCTTTTGAGTCATTCAAATGTGCCAAAATTTGTATATTTTTACTTAAAATTATTTCTAAGTGGGAAAATACTCCAAAAAGTTGAAGTGTGGGTAATAAAGATAATTTTTATTTATTCTTTATTTGTATGTTTCATTTTTTCTTGAAGTATATGTTCCTTTCAAGTTAGAGAACATAGTGTTGGGTGTTGTGTGCTCATTCCATCTTTGCCTCCAGTTACAGTTGTGAGTTCTCATCCTTGCATTGGTCACATTCTTTACCAATTGAAGGAAAACTCTGAACCAGGTGTTATCAAAATGAATACCCTCCCCCCTTGTTTGGCATAAATTTCAAGGAAATCACAGGTAGTCCTAATCTGTCCAAGAACTGCTGGGAGTCCTTGCTTCTCCTGTAAGTGTCCCTGTTTTACACATAATGCGATAACAGAGAGTTACATTTCAAACTGGTGACTGCTGGGTGGCAGATGGTAGCAAAAGTTTAAGCTTAAGAGCTGGCTAACTCTTAAGAGCAGTGTAACTCTGGCAATTATTTAGCTCTTGGGCTGATTTCTCTCTTCTATAAAATAGGGATCATGGTACCTACTTCACTAAAACTAAAAATTCTTTACAAGCTATCATCATGCATATCATCCAGATGTTTTATAAATTAAGAGAGGCATAGCCTTAACAGCTATGACTGAAAAATATACTCTACATATACTTACTCTAGAGTGTATAAACATGTGCTCTAATTTATTATTAATTTCCGTTTAGCTTTTGTTCAGAAAAATTCCAAAAGTAAATATAGAGAGATGGTGCCTAAACTCTTAAAAGTGTAATGAAAACAGGTTTCTAAGAGTCATTAACTAGAAGTTTGCAAATCATTTCTTTCTTTCTTTCTCTATTTTTTTTTAATTCACTAATGCTTCACAATTATATTTGACAGCATAAGGAATTTAGTTGGTTTTTGCATACATGCATGCTTATGTGGGTATGCACTCATGTGTAGAAATGCATGTTTACATATGTGTTTAACCCACGTATACTAAATGAAGAGAACTTAATTCCTAAGAAAGTGGCCATTCTAGAGATCATTGAATAGAAATTGGTTACAATGTTAAATGTAAGTAAAATTATATCATATATGCATTAGGTTATAAATGACTATTTTTTTCCTCAAACTTTCATAGAAAGTGAGTCGTTTTTGTTGAGCTATTCAATAATGTTTTTAAAAAACCCATTGATCTATCATTAAAATTCCTGATATTATAATCCCCCACTAATTCAGTGTGAGAAAATATAAGCCAATATTTGCAGCTCTGAAATGAATGCACTTTGGAATTTACTTTAATACAGAAGGCTGGAAGCCACTAAGAATATTTTTTCCAATTTATCTGTGAGATTAAAAAAATTACTAAATTTATAAAGCTAAACCATCTGCTAGTATCAATCTGGTATTGAATCTATAGAAAAGAATGTTCATAAGATTTTGCTACCAATAGTTTCCTCTTTTTCTTTACTGAATCAAAATATTAAGTAACAATAAAATTTCTTCCCAGTTCTTTTAATAGATAGAAATCTGTTGCCTTCTAGAAATAAGTATATCCAGCAAAATTAACTAACAAGACTGTTATAACATGAATGTAAACACGCAGTTCTTGAAATTCTAATTTAAAATACTTTAATATTTATTTAAACTACCCTTTGCATCTATGTAAGATCAATAATACTATCGCAGAAAAAAATGTGATTTTGAACTTGAGCCATAGTAAGTGAATGGGCATTCAATCTTAATCAACTAATTGAAAATTGGTCTCAAGTACATGTTGACATTAAATTTTTATATTCTTCAAGTGGTAAAAAAATGAGAAGGGACATCAATATTGATCACTTTTTCAGAAGTATCTTCTACATTTTCAAATAGAACCCATTTATTCGAAGCAGAAGATGAAAGCAAATGCCAGTATATCCTCTTCAACTCTACTCAAGCTTACCCAAAATTAGTTTATCAAAACTAAATTGTAGAAAATAATATTGGACCTGAAATTTTACCTTTAACTTAGAAGATGTTCAAAAATTTCAAAAGTGATTGATTCACAAAGGAAACCGTGTGGCAAAATGGAATGACTCATTCATTTTTGTGAAAATGATTAAATACACAACACATTTCATTGATTCTAAGATACAAATACTTTTATTAATAAATACGGAAAGGAGGAAATAAGGAAATATATAGATATAATACAAATACTATTATATTATATGATATAGAATTATATATAGCTTAGAATTATAATTCCATAGAATTATATAGCTTAAAAATGAGGCTCTGTTGGGAAGGTAAAATACTGGCTTTGGCAATGGCAGAAATGAAAGAAAACAGGCAGATAGTTACTTTGTGAAAAATAATAAGTGGTAACATTTGACATAGATATCAAGTACAAAATACATTCTTAAGATTTTTTAACTGAAGTAGAAATAAAAACAAAAATCACGTACTTTTTAAAGTAAATCATACAACAACTTATCTATTTGGAACGTGTTCGATCTATGCAACAAAATGACCTAGACCATATTAAAAACACAGAAGGCAGGAGAAAGAGATGAAATCAATATCAATAAGGTCATTTCTGGGTTATAGACTCCTTACTTAGAATTAATAGAATTCGTGTGTTAATAGAAATTCTAACAAGCACATTTATCTTATTTCAAATTCTGTGATGGATTAGATGTAGCAACTTTACAAAGGGACTTCGTGTCAATTTGTCAGTGGGCAACCTGAAAACAAGAGAGAAAGAAGGGTGTGTGTATTGGGGTTGAGGGGGACTGAATAACAGATGGGTAGTAAAGTTCTCTCTGATTCAAGTGGAATCAATCTCACAGGCTGCAGTAAGTCCCAAAGGTGTCACTGCGGGAATTCAGAACTCAAACTACATGTCATGTTAGGTTGGGCCTGAGCCATCAAGCAAAGGCTGAAGCACTCTCTGTACATCCTATTTATGGAGTCGAGATCGTGTGTAATCCAGATAGAAGTTTAGATGTCATGGTGCTTAAAGAGATCAAGCATCACGGGGTAATTCATCCTTGACAGATTGGCTAAACAAGATTTTTCTGTTCCTCTTATTTGGTATTAACTGTCTGTCTATATATCCAACTTCTTAATCCTCTTGAGACAAATATTTATTGCATCATTTAAAGCACTGGAAATGTGGTACTAAATAAAGGTGACGGAATCTGTAGTATCCTTACAGGCTTGTACTTTTAAAAAGGAAGATAAACCAAATGAATAAGAAAATGTAAGGACATTTAAAAAGTGACAAGCACTACATAGAACCCTAAAGCAGACCAAGGATTTACTATGTCTATGGTTTGTCATTTAAAGTAGATTAGTGAGCAAACAAGTGGGCCAAGAACTGACGGACGTGAGAGTAAGGTGGAACGGCGAGGAAGACGTCCTGCCGTAGAAACAGGCCAGGTGGTTTAAGGAACAAGTGAAGAGTGAAGGAAGAAAACTGGGCATGATATCAAAAGATAAATGAAGATAGAGGTGGGCACATAATATATGGGGCATTGTACGCTACTCTGGGCACTCTGGTTTCTATTGAGGTGTAGGGTTTTCAGGTTACTATGGGAGCATTTCAGAAGATAATGGTGGTAAGTAAGAGGGGTGAGAGTGATCATATTTTGGATATATTTTGAAGAATAAATTGGCCTTGAAGCAATATAAGCATATATAGGGTATTAATGAAAGAAATGAGATTAGTATGATAGCAAAGATTTTGGCTTAAGGAATGGAGTTGTGATCCCAGAAATGAGGAAGATCAGGAAAAGGGTCTAAGAGGAAGAAGGCTAATTTAGTCATGGCTGTGTTGAGCATTAATAGAGGCATTGCAGAGGTGTTTAGAAGGGGTGCTAGATTCAGCATTAAATTGGGTGATGGGTTGGCTGGTAAGGTTTCCAGAGAATATTCCTATGCTAAAACCTACACAATGCTATAAACTCCATGAGGGCATAGCCAAGAACCCTCTTTATTTTTTATTTTTCTTAAAATGGGGTCTTGCTCTGTCTCCCAGGCTGGAGTGCTGTGGCATGATCATAGCTCACCAGAACCTCAAACTCCTGGGCTTAAGTGATGCTCCTACCTCAGCCTCCCAAGTAGCTAAGCCTACAGGTGCACAACACTACACCCCAGTAATTTAAAGATGGGGTCACACTATGTTGCTCAGGCTGGCTTTTAAAAAAAATTACCGTTTGCAGTTTTGACAAGTACATTGAAGACACTCAGTAGAGACCTGATCATTGAATAAATGAAGACCTGAGGGATGAAGAATTAAATGCTAACCTATCGCTCGGGCTATTTTTATTGAATTTTCATTATATGTCCCACACTATTTTAATTGTTTTTCATGTATGTTTTCATTTAATTCCCATAACAAAATTATTGTATTATTATGACACTTTTACAGGAGAAGAAACTGAGGTTTAGGGAGGGTAACTGCATTGCTCAAAAACACTTCGGTTTACTCCAACTTTGGTGTAGACAGTGTTTTACATTAGCAAGGAGAGTTTGAAGAAGGAGCAATAAGGCCATTCCAGGCAGAGGAAAAAACATACGCAAAGTCAGAGGCCAAACACAGATTTGCAAGCACAATGAAATAGCGGACTAACTACGTTCCAAACTGATGTCCATAAGGTATTTTATGGTTTTAGAAGTATTTCCTCATAGGTATTCCTTATAACCTCTGAGAAGTGTTTTTCCAATGAGTTTCAGTGGTTAGGAACATAGGCCTACAGGGCAAGTTTACAAATCTAGTCAATAAGGACTAAGGTTTTTACCTGGACTTCTCCCACCAAAGCTTAAAATAATTTCTTGTATTTCTGATTATCTAAAGTCGTGTCATGTATCCATTAAGGGGTGAGGATATGTACATGGAAATGCCTGTTTTGATGTTGAACTGAAAAAAAATGCACAAGGCCGAAATGAG